CTTAAAAATTATCCTAGTGATGCATTTAATAAAATTGAAATAGAAAAGTGAGGAGAACTTTAAATATATATATATTCTATTACTTAAAACATATGGAAACAGTGCAGTAGTATGCGTGAGACCACGGCAAGATATTTCTCAAATACTTGGAAATAGGTTTCTTTGAGAGTCAAATCCCAAAATAGATCAGAGAAGGAAATATATAGCTCTGCTGGGAGATATCAGTGCTCTCAGACCATTGGTTTGCCTAAAACCTGACTGGAGGCCTAAACAGGAAGGGAACGTGGGCTTCAATGGAAGCATGAAGGCGGAGCTGTAGTTGGAACCCTCTACAAGGTCTGCGCGTTTACCAGGGCATAGGGTGCAATGTCAGGGGCATTCAGTTGTCTGGTTTACTAGACTGTTTTAGCCCTTCATCAATAAGGGCACCTTCAGTTCTAGTGTAGGAGGGTCAGCTGTCCTCGACATATTTTTGGTTGGCTAAAAAGTTCGGCTTGCAGGACAACCCAGACAAACTTTTTGGCTAACACAGTATTAACTATTGAGCCTGTCCATGGGGTTGGGCAAACTAGAATGGTTACTGAGCTTAATGGAGATGGTGCAGGAGCTCTGGGGAGGAGTTGGTGGTACATGTTTTACTCTTCCTTCCTAAATAACATTACAGTTCAATTTTTTAGCATTTATTTTTAGTGGTATCCCAGGGGCATTTGTGACAGGGGCTGTCAACACAGACTCCATTCAAGTGCACTTATGGTGGTATTCTTGACCGTTTGAGTTGCTCCAAGCCCAGGGCCCTTTCCACTGCCTTTGTTCTGATTCCTTATACACCAGGCAGTTATCTAATACTTCTGCTTCCTGTGTATTTTTCTGATGAAGCCAGAAAATATTTCCCAATCTTTTTGATAGTTGTATTTCTGAAAAATGAGTGCACTGACATTCTGGTTTTATATATGCTGAGGGAGGAGGAATTTAGTTTTATTATCATAACATCAGATGCCATCTCCTAGGATGATGAGCTGAGATGATAGTCTGAGCCAAGGCCAGACCCTGGACTGAGGTGAAATCATCAGATCTGGCAATGGCAGTAGATATCCTCCAAGTACTCTTGTACTCCTTCCACGATATAAACCTGTTACTAGGAAATAGCTCGCCAACTATAGATTGTTTTTTCCCAGCACTTACTGTATCATTGTGCCTTTCTTTCCAAAGAATAGAGTAATAAGCAGTCACTTTTTGTACACTGAGAATAATTAACTGGCCTTGGAAAGTAATCAGACTTGGTTAATAGTTCATTTAATGTTTATGGTTTTCTTTGGGGGCAAAACCCCCAACAAATTTTTGAAAAATGTCAAGGATCATATCCTTTCCTTTCCAATGAGCATTGAGCTTTACTATGAATGATGCCTTAAAGAATCAGGAGCCTTGAGTTCTAGTTTCAGCCAAGTCTCCTAACATGGGGCATGGCCTTGCTCTAGTCATTTGACATCTCTAGTTCTCATTCTTTTACTTATGTACTTTTTTTCAAATAAAATATTTTATGGGTAGGTTAATATAATCCTGCATGTCTGAAACTTCTTCCCTTTTGTTAAAAGTAACAAATATTTATGGAGCTCTTATTTCATGTCAGGTTCTATGCTAAGTGCATTATATAGTATTTATTTGCCTTAGGAAGTTGGGACCATTTTATGAATGAGAGAATGGGGGTTCTGAGAGCGAAATCAGTTGATCAAAACTAGTCGACAACAGAGCTGGAACTTAAACACATGTCTGCCCAGCTCCACGCCCACAATGTTAATTAGTGCCATGCTCCTTAGACTTGGCACATAATTTAAGGGGTTTTTAAATCCATCTTAATTTGGAACATGGTTTACTTTCTATAGGGTGATTTCTTACTTCCATCTTTATACTTTCTATATTTCTGAAACCAGAGGAATTGAAAGGACTTTTGTACTACTGTGTGTTTCATTTATAAATCACCCCAGACTCTTTGGAAACCCACTTCATTTTTGAAACCCAATGTGCTGGTATAGTTTTCAATTCTTTTCCTTCTTGGTGTATGCTTTCTGTGCTTTCTTTGTGTAAGGATGACAAAAATGGAAACTTTTAATGTTATTGAATGTTAAAAATTTGGCTAAAGGAGAGAACTTTGGTTTACACCTTAGGAGATTGAGGTTTATTTCTGTCTCAAGATATTTATGCCGAGATATTGTGAGAGTAACTCTTAGTACTGTTTTGCAAGTTATTATCAAATATGTGAAGAGCATTTCACACAAAATCGCTCTGTGTGAGCAGTCATAGTATTTCACTGGATTGTTGGAACCAGAATTAAAGCAAAATAACTTTAGGCTTATTGTTGCTCTGTGTGGACCTACTTAAGATAATTGGAATTCGGGCAGTTTGTTAAATCCTTCTTATGTTATTTGACTTGGCCTTAGCATAATGCCAGTTGGACTGCTGCAGGTGTATGTGGTGCATACAAGCAGATAAATGATTATATTTCTGTCTGAATTATCTCAGCTATACTGTATTCATTGATTAGGTCTAAAGTTAGGAATGTTTTGTTCTCTGAGCTGTGTCGAGTGAGACAAAAGAATAGGAAGGGAAACTGAATTAGGAGAGAGAGTTGGTGGAAGAGAAGAGGGAAGAAAGGCTGTTGGGGGAAATGAGGCTAAAAAGTGTCATTCAGAACCATCCTGAGAACTGAATTATGAGTAAACTGTATACTACTCATAGGCAGCTTCTGAAGGGAGCTCACGGTTTAACCATTTTGACGGTGCCTTACTCCTGAACTGGGCCAAGGACAGCTTAAAGATTTAAGGGATGGCGGTGTTTTGTGTTAGATAGAGGGGGGAAGTCACGGTTGGTCATTTTAGTAAACTCTTTAGCTTTTAATGCCTATTGTTTCACTCAGCATTTTCAGCATCTTCCGAACTTTGGTCATTCAGGCACCACAATCAACAGTTTTTGCCTTATCCATATTCTTTTCTTTTAAACTTAAATGTATTTTAAACAGGAACTTTATGTTGAAATCTGGTTTGATATGATAGTTATAGCTTTTCCTAATGTGCATTGAAATAAGTACATGAAGTTAGCATAAAGCCTAGCCACCAGTGTCCACCTAAAATTACCTTGAGAAATGCTGCGTTCATCTAATTCCAGCTCTTCCCTTGGCAGAGAGGGTACACAGAATGCTGAAGGTAGATGGTTAAAGGGAAACCCAAAACCTGGATATAGGGGCTTTTCAATAAAAACCTAGACAGATTTAAGACAGTAGATGAACACTAGGTTTCCCTTTGGGTTATCAGGCTAAAGACTTTAAAGTTTCATTTCTTTTCCTCTTTCTTTTTTTGGTAAACTATTGAATGTTTTTTAGGTTACAGGAGTGTCTAGGCTTCATGAGTATTTTTCTCTGTTTGTTTCCTGGCAGAAACTGTGTCTCGAAAATTCTGAACTTGCTTTAGCTTCAAGTAAGGAGGAGTAAGATTTCTCCTTGCTCATTTTAGTGATAAGATCCCCTCTATCAGCTCCTAAGCCCAGAAATTCAGTATCTGTGAACTGCCTTGTACATGCCAGGCACACACTGCTGACCCCTGTGATGTGAAAAGGAAGCTGTGGTCCCCTCTTTGGTGAGGTCTGACGTAAACAGCTGAAACAGTCCCATGTAATAGAGGCATCAGCCAGGTACAGGAGATGTTAACTCTTTGGGTAGATCAGCAAAGGCCTTCATGGCTGGTGGAGAATGGGAGCTGGGCTGGTTGCATGTATGCCGTAAGGAGAACAGCACAATTTGTGCCCCTCTGAGTGCCATAGTCTTTTCTCTTCCGTCTTCGTAGATGATCATTTAGCACAATTTCTGTAGGTTGTACCCTGGCCCACATGTATTCCAACAGGAATGTTTTCAATATGTGGTAACTCAAGCCTTGCTGCCCTGACACCTCCACATGAATTCGAAGCAATAACTAGGGAACCTTCAGTAACAGTTGGCATATAGAGATGGCATCGTTCCCAAAACAACATCTTAATGAGGTCTGTGCTTTAAGAGCAATGCTTCTAGTTTAAATATACTCGGGCATGTCCTGTGTAACTGGAAGCCATGTGGCAGAAGTGGCTGCGATCACAGCGTGGTTCAGTCCTGCATTGGGAGGGTCTCATTGGAGCAGCTTCTCTTAACCTCAGCGACTCCACACCTGGGTAGGAGGGTACTGTACATAAGGCAGGAGAAAGAGAATATAACAAATCAGGGACTTCTCGGTGATTAAGACTCTGCCTTCCAATGCAGGGGGTGTGGTTTTGATCCCTGGTTGGGGGAACTAAGATCCCACATGCTTGCAGGATGCAGCCAAAAATTTAAAAATAAAACTTTTTTTTTTTTTTTTTTAGAAAAAGAGAAAGAGAATAAAACACATCAGCCTTAGCCCCCTTTAGGGAATGTGTGTGTAGAACCCTCCTGCAAATGCAGGGGACATGAGAGACCCAGGTTCAATCCCTGGATCGGGAATATCCCCTGGAGGAGGGCATGGCAACCCACTCCAGTACTCTTACCTGAAGATTCCCATGGACAGAGGAGCCTGGTGGGCTACAGTCCATGGGGCTGCAAAGAGTCAGACATGACTGAGTGACTTAGCATGCCTGCATGTACAAAATCTGAGATACAGATTCTAGTCTTCATATAGCTTCCAACCCATCCCTCCGTACCCCACGCCACCTGCTTACCCACCTAGAACCTGAGCTGCACATTTAAAAACCAGTAGTTGAGAGAAGATTCTCAGTTCTATGTATCTAGGGGTCAGATAAAGGAGAAACCTCCAAGCCATCCTCAGCCTGGGTGCCTAAAACCCTCACAGTGCTCATTGCATTGATGGCCCCATCCAGCTTTAGACCTCTGGGGATTTAATATATGCAGGCTTTTTCTTTTTTTTTTTTTTAGCACACTTGTTCTCTTAAAGAGCGGAAAATAAACGCCAAGGTGAGGGTGGTAGGGAGTGAGCTTTCAGACCAAGCCACGTCTCTTGTGTTACCAGAGACCACACCCCTCCTCAGACTAATCACCGAAGACTGTTTCTTTTGGCCAGCTCTCTGACCTTGAAGGATCCAGCCAGCCGCCTTGAAGATTTGGGTGCTAGACATAATACGGGTAGAGTCCAAGAGTTATTTCTATTTTATATATTTTATGTAGCTTGGCTATATTCATTTTTTATTCATTAAAAGTCCTGTTCTTAAGTAAGTCTAAAATACTTAACATACACACTGCCACTGACTTTTTTATATATAGGCTAAAGCACATCAGAAATATAAAGAATGCTAGAATTTATGGTAGCATCCACAAGTGATGCTGTGTTGCATCACTTGGACACAGACCAAGTTAAGAGTATGGATTGTTCTCCAATGTGTGTTAAACCCTTGGTTTTCTTTCTTCTGAATGTGATGAGGCAGATTTTCCTTGGAAAAATGGTTTGCGTTCAGCTGGGGAGATTGATATTTTCCCCCATCAGTTTCTCCCTTTAATAATTGAAAACTACTGTTCATTATTTACATAAAACTGTCTTTTTCTGGTCTGCTTTCCATAACCTTTCCCCTCTGAAGAATTTTAAGAATTCCCTGACTTGCCTCTGGGGGATTTTATGCCTGCTTTATCCCAGATGTGGGACATAGACCAGGCTGAGGGGTTTCTTTTTTTAATGTTCCTACTTTGAAAGACATTCTTTAACCAGTGAGCAAAGCTGCCACTGAAGAAAAGGATTTTCAAGAAAGTTAAGCAGTTAAGAAAATATGTGAGCTTGGTTTAAATGTCTGACTTAACTGAATGACACCAAAATCCCGAGTGCGAAATGAAAAAAGTAGACAGTAGTTTCAAATAATAATGGGAAAATGCACACGTGTTCTTTCAGCCTTTTAAGTTTGGAATTTTACTTTCTGAATGAAGGCATGTCAGTCTCCAGTCCCAGCAGCCCCATGTCTGATCTTGCCTTGAATGCCTGCTGATGTCATCCCAGGGAACGCACGGGCTTAGCAGATGTTTACCCTACTTCTGTTAGTCCTCGTCCCCACCTTCTGCTGACACAAAGAGGATATTCAGCCTTACTCATAATATTTTGTCTGCTCACATTCATATAGATGTATTGATCCTAATCCCTCTTTCAGAAGGGAGAATGTTAGAGGAGGGGAGAACTTAGAGTGCCAGAGGCTGTATTGAGACAGGATTTTCTTATTTTTTTCCTAATGTCCATTCAGATTCCCAGACATTTCACCACCAGCTTTTGGTTATTGTAGCCTTCATAGTGATGTCCAAAAATACCATAAAATTGAAACTCTTTTGTGCGATAAAATGTGAGAAGAATGCCGGCGAGAGTTTTTCTTCTCTACTCGAGCACATATTACACCATTTTCCCAAGTCCAAAGTTCTTTTTTCCGCAATGAATATATCTGTTGTATCTGTTGTATCATGTGTAATTAATTAAATTATTAGGTTTTAGTTTCTTCCGAGTTCAAATTTCTGTTGCATTTTTGAAATATCTGAAAATTCTTAAGCTTAATTTTCATAGTATGCAAGGTGGCTGCCTACCATATATTTCCTGCTTCACCATGGTCCCCTGGCTGACATAACCTCCTCTCCTTTTTATTCTCCTGTAGGATCTTTCGAAGATGGTTTGGCTGCCCTGGAGATTTGGAGATCTGATGCCACGATGAGGACTCACACACGGGGGGCTCCCAGTGTGTTTTTCATATGTTTGTTTTGCTTTGTGTCAGCCTGCGTCACCGACGAGAATCCAGAAGTCATGATCCCCTTCACCAACGCCAACTACGACAGCCACCCGATGCTCTACTTCTCCAGGGCCGAGGTGGCCGAGCTCCAGCTGCGGGCCGCCAGCTCCCACGAGCACATTGCCGCCCGGCTCACGGAGGCCGTGAACACCATGCTGTCCAGCCCCCTGGAGTACCTCCCTCCGTGGGACCCCAAGGAGTACAGCGCCCGCTGGAATGAGATTTACGGCAACAACCTGGGCGCCCTAGCCATGTTCTGCGTGCTGTATCCTGAGAACATGGAAGCCCGAGATATGGCCAAAGACTACATGGAGAGGATGGCAGCTCAGCCTAGTTGGTAGATTTTTGTCTTTTTCTTCTTACTGTATTAACTCTGTGATTTAAGGAATGGATTCATAGGGGGATGAAATCTCAGAGGCCAGATTTTCATATACTCTGTGTGTGCGTGTGTGTGTGATTGAAGGGGAAAGATTGCTTGTTATTTGTGTTGTCAATGGCTTATGAATGGTCTCTAGTTTCAAAGACCTAGTAACTTCCATGTTTAAAGTTAGAAGAAAAATATTTATAGATATAATCTAACCAAAGAAAAAATAATTTGCTGCCTTGAGTAAACGGTATCATCTTGATTGTTGAGATTTCTTTCCCGTTGTTTCACACACTTGTATTACTATCATCAGGTCTTAAGTTCTGACTGACCCCCTTGTGGTTAAAACCTTTTGCCAGCAAGAGATTTCCTCCAATTAAGATTACTTTCCATTTTAGGACAATCAGGAGCTTGAAGAGCTAAAAGTAAATGTGATAGGATTAACTGGCAATTTATAAACAAGATCTTATCCAATACCCAGCAAATTGCCCAAACCTGTATGAAAACCAAAGTTGTAATATAATTATGTGAGGAATTCTAATTATGTAATAATTTACTTTCAGAAGTTCAAAATTTGATAACAAACTTCCTGTCACTTCTTGATTAGCTTAAATTTATTTGTTTATAATTAATGTGCCTACCTGATTCCAGAAGGTATGCCATGAATTAATTAGAGATTCTGTGTGTATTCTTTAAATAATTTAAACTGTTTTAATACATATTCATGGACCAATTACATTAAAAAAATTGCAAACTATATGAAATATCCTTTTAAAATTATATAGGCTGTTAATTGTCCTAGGGTTAGAAAGAGCTCTTTTTTAAATGATTAGAAAAATCAGTGAATGCATTTAATGTTGTGGTGAGTTACATCTCACATATCATAGGGGTGAAGAATGGTAGCTTGCAAGCTTCCTGAATTCCGCCAATACAATAAATAAATTTAATTCTTCCTAAATTTCTGCAAATATGATAAAGAATGTTGTTTGCTTATAGAGTTTGAAGGATTTTCTGAAATTTCTTACTGAAAAAGATGATAGAAGTGTTGGTATTACATTCATATCAGAGCTTATTTTTAAGGCTTATTGTTAGGTATATATAATCATTTTGAAGCTTACAATATTTTATATTGAAAAGAAGCTTTTTATTTGGATTGTTTCAAAGCTGAGCCATAGTTTCTGTTCTTGATTAACTCATTCTATTCTTGACTCCAACAAAGAACGTAAAAGATGTATGACTTCAGTTTTTATTTGCCAACCATACCTCAGTAAAGCTTGGAAAATTTTTTTAAATAATAAAAAATGATGCATGAAAATTGGACATTTGAACTATAAATTTCTGTTAGCAGGTATCACGGTTACTTGACATTGTACAGTTAGTTTAAAATGGCTGCCATATTTATAGTATTTGAGGAAAAAGTCTTTGTTGTCTATAAAGGTAAAGTCCTTTTTGTTTTAGATAGCTAAGTGAAATTTGACCGATTAAGGTACTGATGAAAATGTTCCAGAGAGCCATTCTGGAACATTAATTTCACTTTATGAAAGAGTAGGTAACTGGGAAGTTCCACTTTATAATGGAGACTTTATTAGTATAAATACAATCACATGAAGAGACTTGCACAAGACCTGTGCGATTTTATTATAAAAAACATTGAGGCATATAAACACCAACATAAACGAATGCTGTCATTAGAAAGGATTAAAAGAAGGAAAATAAAAATGATCATTTTAATAGTTTTCTACAGGTTCAGAATTACTGGTTGATGGAGATGTGTAGAAATATACTAGAGGACTGGTACTTTTTTTGTATTAGTTTTGATAAAAACAGGTATAACTCTATGCCATTATCCAGTAACCCAAAAGCCAGTCTGTGATTTAATAGAGCTGAACAGTTGAGTTCATTCTCTTGACCTCCTAGTAGATGAAGGTCAGAAACTGAGAATTTACCTTTATATCTGGTGTGTATTTCCAGAAGTTATCCTAGCATAAAAACTCAAGCTACTGGAATATTTTTATCTTGGGAAGAACTGTTACTAGGCGGTACTTTTAAATGATTTTATGGAAATTACAAGTTTTAAGAGCTATTGCATCCAATCCCTAGACTCTTAAATTTTTATTAAATTGTAGTTGAATATAATCAGTCCCTTTTTGAAACTTAAAATACTGCTGAATGTTTTTGTAGTTCAACTATCCATATTTAAATCAACTAAATCATATGTTCCTATTATGCCCAGAGAAAGTATTGTAGATGTTGTCACTGTCTTAGGATATAGTTCACCTATATTTGGTTTCAGAGAAAAATAAAAGACTTTTATTTATAAAAGAGATCAATATTTAATACTATGGAATTTTTAAAAAGCTTCCTGCAGTGGCTTCATCAAACTTAATACATTTGCCATATTCCATGAAGATCCTTCCTACTCTTTATAAAAACCAATGAGTAAATTGTGTCCATTCACTTATTCAATTAATAAACATTAACAAACATTTATTGAGCATCTGTTCCATGTCATGTACCATATAGATGCTGGGGATTCAATGATGAAAAAAAAAATAACTCTGTACATTTAAAATTTGCACCTAGGATAAGGGCTGCAAACACTGGGTTTATAGCGAGGACTATATTCTCTGCTCAGAATTAAGTGTAAGGATCACTTAATTGGGGGGCGGTGATCATTAGTTTTTATTCATGAATTACTTAAAGATTTGAGGAATAAATGAGATAAGGTAAAATACTTATTAGCACAGTTCCTGTCTCATAGTAAGCCTTCTATAAATAAGAATGACAACGATAAGAATGACAACAATAATTATTGTTACTGGTATTTACTTAGTATTTAGACCTTGTTTAGTTTATAATTTGGTGTTTGTAGGCTGTAAGGAAATAGTATTTGTTTGGGATTTATTTGGAGACTTTGCTTATCTTTATTCAAATTGCCCTCAAAACTAGAACATCTGTTTAATGTATAATATGTTCCTTCTGGCGTTGTTCCATTAAAACTTTCAGTGTTGCTCCCTTGGGCCCCTTTTGTTAGCAGATAAGAATCTGATGGTAGCACCAACTGTGACGGCTTAGGGGGAAGGAACAATGATGTGTCTTTTGTCTGGTATTAAAACGAAGTACTTCTGACATATATATGCATACAGATTTATTAATGTAGTTCATTTAATTTGAATATTTTGTAAGTAAAGAGCTAAAAGGTCACAGCTGTAGATTTACTTACTTAACAGTCTAAGGCCATTGGAAAAGTTAAATGGAAAATATTATCTAGTTATATACTGATCTTATGTGTTCATCTGATAAAGTAGAAAGGGATCTTATAGATTGATAATGATGTTGGTGGTTGAAAAATAACCACATGCAGTACTGTCATCTTTTGACATTATAATTTTGTGTGTCAGTGAGTACCCAAACATGAGACATGTCTATGTCCTATATCTGCTTTTGTGGATATGTCCATATTCTCTTTCAGAAGCGCTCTCTCCTCTGTTCTTCTACCTTTTGTTAATGTTATGCATTCTTTATAACATTCTCTCTAACAGTAAAAGTAACAAGATAATTGAATTGTTCTTAATTTGGTTGTAAAAATCAAATTTTAAAAGATGTTACTTTAACCTATATATAAAATGGCACATTATTTTTAGCATCATCAATAATGTCTTTGACCTTTAAATTAAGCCCCTTTTCCTCTATAGATCTCCTCTTCCAAATGAGAGCTAGGATTTGGGTTACAGTTGGCCCTGTGTTATATAAAAGAGTGATTAGAACTTCATTATATAACTACTTTAAGAAATATAATGAGCTGAGATCATAAATCTAGACCTGGTAACAATAGAAAATGTGTTCTATTACACTTAAAGTCATTTCATTTTTTTATATCATCTAATCATCAGAGCAAGTTCTATATGTGGCAGTTGGCACATGGGGAAATTCTCTTTTATAAATGGTTGATTTCTGCATTCAGTCCTTACCTAATTAAAAAGGGAACACTGCTGGATGCCAAAAAATGAAAAATTTTCCATCAGTTTTTTTTCCTCAAGAACTTAAACTTTAAGGTGAGAAAATAATAAAAACAGATCTTAGTCAAGTTTTAAGAGATTTCTAAAGAGTCAGTTTTTGGAGTTTTGGAGTAAGCACATATTGCTCAGTTTTCCTAAAATTTTCTATGTATGTATATTTTTATTTACTTATCTTTACTTTTTTCTACTGTACCTTTCTTCCCAAAGATTAAGGAAACAAAATATAATACTCAAATAAGAGCTAGCTGAGAAAGAAAAGAGGAAAGGAAAAGATTATCAGCTGGACTAGCAGAGACAGTTGCTGAAATGCTTCTTATGTCCGATGGGTGAAAGGGCCACAGGTGGGCCCTGAATTTCTTTAAAAGTAAAGAAAGTAGGTTCAGTTAGTTTTGAAGTATAGTGTCCGTGGGATTAAAAATAGATCAGTTACTCCAGCTACTGCTCTTGACTCAAGGATCAGAAAGAAATTTCTCCTGGAGTTTTCTTGAAAAGCTCTCACGGTAGTTTGATGAATGTCCTTCCAGTGCATGTGTGATGAATTGCACAGCGCTGTCTTTTTTATACGATACTGGACTAGACTGAGGGCAGAACTGGATCTGTTTTGCTCATACGTACCTCTGTCATCTCCTAACAGAGTATCAGGTATATTTTTGCCCAGTGAATGAATGCTGTAGTATCCTTGGATGAAGGTTCTTCAAAGTGAAATTGACTAAAACTACAGTGGGGCTAGAGGGGAGGGACGTGTGGTTTAGTCCCAGGCTACCCTACTTTTTTTCCTAGTCTAGCTCAGTCCTTCAGCAAAGTTTTGCCCGTGCAGAGAAGTGAGATGACGTATACCTGTCAGGCGGCCTGTCTATACACTGTGTGTCTCAGCTGAGCTCATGATAGATGGGTTCTCTGAGCTTGGTATTACACTACTCTGCCTGTGTTAGAGCAATCTTCTATACCTAAAAA